GCTCGCAAAATAGGATTGGGAAAGAGCTGCAACATCTGAGTAAACCCAGCCTTACTCATGGAAAAGAGAAAGCTTTCGAGACCTTCATTTGCTGAGTTAATTAGGTAGGTAGTTTTCCAGGTGAGTCAGATACACAGCAGAGATGGGAACTACTGAACTCCATCTTCTCAAAGTGAGGGCCACCAACAGCATTGGCATCACCTGAGAATTTGTTAGAATTCTGAATTCCAGCACCTGTATCAGATATGCTTAATCAGAATCTGCACTTTAACAAGATTTTAAGTGATTCATAAGAGCTTCTATGTTTGAGAAGCAAGCATTGATCCAGGCCAGTGTGGCCCTAGGCCCTTAGGGCCAGCATCACTTGAGAACTGTTAGAAATGCAAATTCTCTGGTTCCATCCCAGATCTTCTGAATCAGAACACTTCTAGGGCCAGTTTGTAAAGTGTTTTAGCAAACCCTTGATGTAGAGACAAACTTTGGAAATAGTACAGATTCAGTTCCAGACCACAGCAATAATGAAAATATTGCAATAAAGCAAGTCACACAAATTTTTTATAAAATTTATATTCACATGATACTGTAGTCTATTAAGTGTGCAATAGCCTTATGAGCAAGTTTGAAATGTTGTGAAAATTACCAAAATGTGACACAGACATGAAGTGAGCACATGCTATCGGGAAAATGGCACCTATGGACTTGCTGGACACAGGGTTGCCACAAACCTTAAATTTGTTTTTAAAAAAATAAAAATAAAAATAAAACCCTACAATATTTGCTAAGCGCAATAAAGCAAAGTGCAATAAAATGAGGTATACCAGTACACTTAAGTTTAAGAACCACTGATCCCAACCATTATCTGGCCTTTAGTTTCAGAATCAATGGTCCAAACTGCTATTCTGCCTTTAGCTGTGACCATTTCCAATTTTAAATCACCTCATATGATTTTTAGCACTGTAATTCTATTTCTAATGTCAGGGAAACTCTAAGAGATTTAGGGCAAGAAGGAACTGACAAAAGTCTACAGTAATAATGTACATATGGAACAATATGCTGCAAAGGCAAGAACTGCACATTTCCTTTTTCCCCAGGCTGGAGATGGCACTGAAATGACTCTATTTAGGTGAACACAGAGGCCATGTGCTGGTTGGCCAAAAAACCTCCTAAGAGACAGCTCCATTATTTTTCAATAGTTATTCCAGAAAAGTTTTACACCCACTTTGACATCTAAATTTTAAAACGCCTCCACCTCTGAAAAAACACTTTTTAATGGCTTTCAATTACAGTGAGGCTAGCAGGGTAAGCCACCCCTTTAGTTTATTTGAGGATGGTACCAGAGGATACCAGCTGCAGGTGTTTCTAAATATTGTGGGCGTGTGAGGGGTGCCCATCAATTTTATAAACACAGCAAGTAAGGTAAGGCTTCCTATCTTTCTTCTTCAAAATAAAAGTCCACAAGCAGACAGTCCCCAGTTACAAAGGAGCACCATTCCTAAGTGTGTCTTTAAGTCAGATTTGTAGGTAAGTCAAAACAGGTGCATCAGGTTCTTATTTAGCCTGAATTCATGCAGGAAAACTTTGGAAGTTGTTTCCAAAGTAAGTGCAGCAAATAAAGGTGATTGTGATGAAGAATTTGCTTCCAGTTGTTGTTGTTATGTGCCATGGAGTCCAATCTGACTCACAGTGACCCCTCCTTGGGTTTCCAAGGCGGTATCACTACGGAAGTAGATTGACCAACCTTCTTTTCGAGGAGTGGCTGGGGGGTTTAAACCGTCAGCCTTCTGGTTAGCAGTCAAGTGCCTTAGGCACTATGCTGCCAGAGCTCCCATAGGGGTTGGTTTAATAGTTACAGAGGGTAAATTTACATAACAAAGGGTAAGTAGGACATTTGTAAACCTGAGACTTACTGCTTTCTCTACTATTGTACTACAGTTTTTCATCCTTTCCCAAGATATAGCTCATAGTTTTAACATCTAGTGCAATAAAATGACATCTAGTCAAAAACACTACCAGCTTAAAAAAGACTTCTTTGTTTGGGGAGGAAAATAAAAAGCCAACTGAAAGCGTTAAAGACCCTTGTACCCCTTTTCTGGGACTATTTCATATAGTGAAGCTTTAGCCATGCTTGGTTAAGTTCAGGGTCATTCTGCCACTTCCTTCCAAGTTCTCCAAAGGCCTTGACCTCCAGGTGTTGAATTTCCTCTTGGCACACTGGGGACGGAGGTTTCTTCCTAGGCCAGCGCCTTCAGCAAGGCTGGGCCGCACCTTGACAGGCCACCTCAGCGCTCGGCCGGGGCGCTTCATGAGTGTGTCAGTCGCCTCAGGACTGGGTTCGCGAGTGGCTTGGTCACCCCAGCATGGTTTCCAGCTAGCGGTGAACTCTCAGGCGCCCTTCCTCTTCGCCGGCCCGGGACTGCCCCGGCCTCCGCGCTCCTCAGCTTCTCCGTGGTCCACTAGGGGGCGGCCGGGGTTCGGCGCTGCCGCCAGGAGAGGAAGGGCAGAGACAAGAGGAAGTGGCTGAATTTTGGGCCGGGCCGGGCGGGAGCGCCGGGAATGGGGGGCGGCCCCGGGCCGGCCCCCGGCCCTTTCCACGCCCCGCGCGGGCTCCTGCGGCTGGAGGTTCCGGGTCCTGTGACGGGTCAGGCGGAGTTGGCCGGCTGGACGGGCGGGCCTCGGGGAGTTTCCGTGGCCGGCGAGGGTGAGCGGGTGAGGGGTCGGCCGGGGAAGCGGTTTGGCGGCACCTCGGCGGGGCGGTGATCTAGTACGGCCAGGCCGTGCGGGCTTCGGGGCGGCCGGGCGTGCTCATGGCGGCCGGGGTAGCCGCCGAGGTGCTCGAGACCCGCGAGCACCTCTTTAAGGTGCTGGTCATCGGCGAGCTCGGCGTGGGCAAGACCAGCATCATCAAGCGCTATGTCCACCAGCTCTTCTCCCAGCACTACCGGGCCACTATCGGGGTGGACTTCGCCCTCAAGGTCCTCAACTGGGACAGCAGGACGTTGGTGAGGCTGCAGCTGTGGGACATCGCGGGTAAGGGGCCTGCGCGAAGTTTCCGTTCGTGGGCAGCAAGGGGCCCCTCAGTTCCTCTCTTTCTTCTTGCTCAGCCCCTGATCTCTTCTGTGCTGCCTCTAGAAGAGGCTAAGCCAAATAATGATGGCACAAGGTCAGGTGGACCCTGGAGGGATCAGTAGTAGTTGAGGAATTGAAAAGGATAAAATACATAAGTACATAGCCAGGTCTTCTGGTGGCTCCACCCACTCCTTGGAAGGAGACTGGGCAATCTACTTCCGTAGTGGTACCGCCTCAGAAACCCAAGGAGGGGTCGCTTTGAGTCCAATGGCCTCAACAGCAGTGAGTTTCGCACCACATAATTTTAAAAGGTGGAAAGACGCCCTCTATCTACTCCAGGATTGTCTCACCTGACGGGGAGATGTGGAAGCCAAAGAGGTTTTTCCAGAAGTTTTAACTCTGAATATTGACAAGTGTGTAATATACCAGAAAGGGAAAGGCTACTTTGGGAGATGCCACCACCTCTTGTTCAGTTCTAACAGCTCACAGATGAGAACTGAAGTTCAGAGTGACTGAAAGACTTACCCAAAGTGCCACTCCTAGTTAGTGGCACGCACTGCTAAGAAACCAACTTTCTTTTCAGAATGTTTTCCATTCTGCATTGGAGATCCTTCTTTGGGAATGAAACTCCAGGTTTCTCAAACGCCTGGCCCAGATTCAGTTGTCAGGTCTTTGAGATGTAAATATTGGGAAAATCTTCTCTGAGACCCTCTCCTCCTACCACTGTCCCTAGACCAAGCCCTCTGGCTCCCTCAGATAGGTTGTTTCTCTGGCATTTGCTTTCAGTTGTCATTTCGGAGCATAACAATCATTCTTTTTGAGGGGGTACGCATTCTCTCACTGTAATTCATGAAAAACTGAGCTCTGGCTGGTGTGAAGGGTGACATGGCTGCTGATACATAACAATAGTTTGAGAAAATTTCTTGTTATACTTGTGGGCATTTAAAAAAATGGTAATTATGGAACTTTTGGGAAAATTTAAATAAGAAAATGGTAGCCAGAGTTACCCTATTCAATCATTGCTGGTGTTAAGAAGCTCAGTTTGCAGTAGAGCATTTGAATGGGAGTGTGCTCTCATGGTGTAGTGTCTAAGGCATTTGACTGCTAACCAGAAGGCTGGCGGTTCAAACCCACCAGCCACTCCTCAGAAGGAAGATGGGG